AATAAATAGGGCTCAGGATTTAACTCAGTGACACAGCACCTACCTCAAAAGTACAGGGACCTGAGTTTGATCCCTGGTACAAAAAAACAAAAACAAAACAAAAAACAATAAATATATTGTTGTGGATCAGATGGGCAGGCCCAGTGTGATCATGGCCCCAGAAGGTCTATGGTGAGGGCTTGCCCAGCCTGCCCAAGGCCCTCCATGCCCAGCACCACAAAGAAGAACAAACCCAAGGCCGGGGATTCGGCTCAGTGGTTCTGCCGCCTGCCTCACAAGCACAAGGGCCTGAGTTCGATCCTGGGTACCAAAAAAAAAAAAAAGCAGGAGTCAGAGCAATTCCAAGCCGAGGAGAGCCTGCTGCCATTGCTGCTTGAGCCAGAGGGGCCGTGCAGGAAGTGTGAAAGGGAAGGGTTTGACCAGGGAGCCCCGGGTGACAGTGTCAGAACCGCCCATCCTTCGCTGTAGCCCAGTGAGGCCCTGAGCAAGGAATCTGCCCACTGCGGCAGACTTTGGCCCTACAAAGGAAAACTATGGTTTGCAACTGCTCAGTCCGTAGCCTCTGCAACAGCAGCCACAGTGGACTGAATGCCAGCCATCGTTTTCTGCCTTTCAGGTGGGGCGTGCTTTTTCACACAGGGTCTCCCTATGTCATCCAGGCTGGCCTTGAACTGCTGTGATCCTCCTGCCTCAGCCTCCCTGGGGCTGGGATTACAGGCATGGCCACCATGCCCTCCTGTCTTCTCAAAACCTCTTTGTCATCTCCATTTGTGACAGTGTTACCAGGCCAGCGCCTGTCCCCAGAGGCAGCGCCCTGGCGGAGTCCTAGCCAAATTCCGGCCTCTTCCACGGCATCCACCTTGGCCTCTGCTACTCCCATGCAGACGTCTCCCGGCTTCACTCTGGCTCTAGGTGACCCCTGGCCGGGCCCCCTGTTCCCCAGCCTTGGCGCACCCTGGGGCAGCCAGGACACAGAGGAGGAGCTGCGTGCGGGCGGATTGGGAAAATCCCCAGGGGGCCAAGGCTGTGAGCGTGGGGGTGTAGCAGGATGGAAGTGGTTTCTGGGTTCTGGCTGGGGCGACCAGAGGGACCGGGAGCCTGCGCCCCTCGGCCCAGAGCTGCCCCTGGCTCACGACCTTTGCATTTGGAGGGAGGAGCAGGAGGGAGACCTGGCTGGTGGAACCCACAAGACAGGACCACTGCGTGAAGGGGGTCCAGGGTCCCCCAGGCAGAGCAGGAACAGGAAGGCGACGGAGCCCACGGACCAGAGGCGAAGAAAAGTATCTGACAAGCAGGCTGTCATGGAACAAGATGAGAAGTGGTTTTTCTCAAGACAGAGGAAATGGTGGCATCTTGTAAGCCATGAGGAGGTCAAAGAAGATAAGGCCCAAGGCTCTGCAGGGTACGGACGTGAGGTCACAGGAACTTTGCCAGGGGACTTTGAACTGCTGGAGGGGAAGCCGCGCTCAGGCGGTTTGGGCTGGGAGGAAAAAGTGAGGCCAGACCTCGGGGCTACTAAGAGGCTGAGGCAGGGAGATGGCAAGCAAATGCCAGGCCAAATCAAAAAGGGATGAGGAATGTAGCTCAGGGATCCCTGGGTTCCGTCCCCAGTCCTGGGGCGGCAGCGGGGGAACCTGCATGAGAAAGAGGACAGAAGGCACGGGCTGAAGGGAGAGGTGGGGGCCCGGGGCAGTGCATCCCGTGCTGCGGCTTCTCCTGTGGCTCTCAGAGTCTGTGGCTCACCCAGACCTGATCTCCTGAAACCTAGGGAAAACCTGGGTAACCCCCCTAGCTTCTGTTGTTTATTCTAGTTACTCGCTTGTAGTTAGTTGACCTTAAAAAACAAAACAGTCTCCCTATGGAGCCCGGGCTGGCCTGGGACTTGTGATCCTCCTGCCTCGGCCTCCTAAGTGCTAGGAGTACAGGTGTGTGTCACCATGCTTGGCCAAAAACCACTTTTTGGAGGTCAAGAAGTCCAGCAGCGTTTTATTAGCCTCCCCCTAGCTCGGCTGCTGATGGCATCTCTGTGTGGGTCACAGTGGGGCAGCGTGGGGTCTGATGGGAACCCCGACCCCAGGAGGCCGAGAGCTGCACCTCAGAGGTGCTCTGCAACCCAGCTACAGCCCAGCCCTTTCCATTTTTAAAATTTTGAGTCAGGATCTCCCTAAGTTGCTCTGACAGGCCTCAAACTTTCCACCCTCCTGCCTCAGCCTCCCGAATACCAGGGATTGTAGGGTCACCACTGTGCCTGGCTTACCTGGTTCTGCTGCTGCTCTCCTCTCTCCTCTTCCTTCTCCCCATTTCCCCCTCAAGTTCCTTTCCCCTCCTACATAAAAAGCTTTGTTTCCATTCTTTTCTTCCATTTTTCCTTTTTCCCTTGTCCCTTCCATCCTTTCTCCCTCCCTCCTCCCTTGTTCCCCTTCCCACTTGAACATTTTCTTCCCGTTTCCCAGTACCCATTATACATCCGTCCTTATTTCCACTTAGTGTCTCACAGCAGAGAAACAATGTGGTATTTAAACACGTAACTTATTTCACTAAAGAGTGTGGTCTCGAGGTCCATCCAGTTAGCTGGAAATGTCTGAAACGCATCCTTCTTTATGGCAGAGTAGTACTCCGTTGTAGAAAAAGCCCACATCTTCTTTATCCACTGGGTAGTTGATGGGCGTTTGGGTTGTTTCCCAGATTTAGCTATTTTGCACTGCTGCTATAAACATGGGAGAGCATACATCGCTGAGGGAGGATGTCTTTCATTCTTTCAGGAAGATACCAAGAAAGGAAACAGCTGGCTCAAATGGAACCTCTAGTTTTAGTTCTTTGAGGAATCTCCACACTGACTTCCAGTGGTTGCACCAGTCTGCACTCCCACCAGGAGTGGAGAGGGGTTCCTTTTTCCCCACAACCCTGCCAGCATTTGTTATTGGTTGATTTCTTTATTGTTATGCATTATGTTTATTGGTACATTTTAGATGCACAATGTGATGACATTCGTCATTGAGAATTTGTACCCGTACATGAGGTCTCTTGGTTCTTACTGTTTCCCCGTCCCCCCTGCCCTCCCTTCAACCCCTGCACCCTTCCCTGTCACTGGTTAATTTCTTGATAGCAGCCATTCTTTCTGGAGTGAGATGGAATCTCAGCCTTGTTTTAATTTGCATGTCATGAATGACCAGTGATGTTGAACATTTTTTCATATATTTATTTGCTGTTTCTAATTCTTCATCTGAGAAGTGTCTTTTCATTTTAGATGCCCTTTTTTTGTTGTTGTCTTTTGGTACTGAGGATCAAACTCAGGACCTTATGCTTGCAAGGGAGATGTGGTGCCACTGAGCTAAATCCCGGCCCTTGAGTTCTTTATATATTCTAGATAGTAGTCCTTTGTCTAAGGAACAGCTGGTAAATTTTTTTCCTACATTGTCCCTTCACTCTGTTGGTGGTTTCTTTTGCTGTGAAAAGTCTTTATAATAACATAAAATCCCAGTTGTTGATTCAATGTAGTATTTCCCATGCAGTCCGGGTTTTGTTCATGAAGTCTTTGCCTAGTCCTGTGTCCTCACGGTTTCTACCCATTGTTTCTTTCAGCAGATTTAGCGTTTCTGTTTTACTATTTAGATCTTTGATCCATTTTGATTTTAGTTTAGTGCATAGTGAAAGAGATGGTCTTAGTTTCAATCTTTGGCAAGCTGAAAGCCAGTTTTTCCAGCACTGTTTATTACAGAGGCTGTCTTCCTTCCAGTGAAGTTGTTTGGTTCCTTTGTCAAAGATTAAGTGGACAAGTGTGTCTAAAGCTGTTTCTGCATCTATAGTCTGTTCTGTTGATCCTCAGTTCTGTTCTTTTGCCAGTACCATGCTGTTTTTACCACAGTAGCTTTGTAGTATAATTTCAGGTTAGGGATTGTGATGCCCCCTGCCTTGCCTTTACTGCCCAGGATTGCCTTTGCTATTCTAGGTCTCTGGTTCCAAATGAATTTTAGGATTATTTTTTCTAATTCTGTGAGATATGCTATTAGGATTTTGATTGGGATTGCATTAAATCAATATAACAATTTTGGAAGCATCAACATTTTCATTATATATTCATCCAAGAACAAGGGATGTCTTTCCATTTTCTGATATCCTGGGGTTTGTTTTATTGTTTCAAAGGACAAATGGCCATTGTTTTGCCTTACTTCCCAGTTTGAGATTTTTTTTTCTTTTTGGTTATTGAGGTACAGTTTCATTATGTAGCCCAGGCTGTTCTGGAATTTACAGCATTCTCCTGCCCCAGCCTCCTGAGTGCTGCATTGCCAGTGTGCACCACCACACCTGGCTTCTAATTTTTTTTTTCTTTTTTGAGAATGGGTCTCACTATGTAGTTGAGACTGACCTGGAACTCACTATGTAGCCCAGGCTGGTCTTGAACTCACAGCGATTCTCCTGCCTCAGCTTCCCGAGTGCTGGGATTACAGGCATGCGCCACCATGCCCGGCATTGGCTTCTAATTTTTCTAGCAATAGTAAAGGTGTTGCAATGTAGGACAGCCAAAAGGAACAATTGATATCCACCACAGCAGATGTTTTTGGAAAGGTCATAATTAGTTCATACTGCTCAAAATTTTAAATTGTGGCTCTTCTAAAGACACTGAAGAGGGGATGAAACGATAAACCTAGGGTGAGAGAAGAGTATTTGCAAACCACAAATCTGGCAAAGGACTCATGAGCAGGATATGTAAAGCAGGATCAAAATGGAATGGAGTAGCCAGGTGTGGTGGGGTGGGGGCAGTGAGACACCGCGTCTAAGACGGCCGCCCCGATAAAAACTGTCGGGGATGTGGAAAAATCCAAACCCTTGTACATTACTGGTAGAAAGTACAAAATGGTTCAGCCAATGTGGAAAATAGTTTGGCAGCTCTTCAAAGTATTTTTTTAAAATGCAGTTATCACATGACCCAGCAATTCTATTCCTTGGTATCTACTCCAAAGAAATGAAAACAAATGTTCACGTAGAAACTCGTACTCCAATCTTCATAGCAGCGTTATTCATAATAGCCCAAAAGTGGAAGCGATGTAGATGTCCACTTAGTGATGGATAAATGTGGTCTGTCATGCAGTGGAATATTACACAGCCAAGAAAATGAATGGAGTACTGGCTTCCTACCACATAAGTGAGTCTCAAAGTCATTATCCTAAATGAAAGAAGGCAGACAAAAGAGCAACTGTGTGTGATTCCACTGACACGGAATGCCAGTCTAATCCCTAGGCAGTGTATTAATGATAGTCAGAGGCTAAGTAGATGAGAGAATGGGGTTTGATTGCTTATATAGCCATAGAGTCCCTTGTAGGTTGAGGAAAATGTAAAAAAAAAAAAAAAAGAAAGGAGTTCAGTGATAGTTGCATTGTGAATATACTAAAAACTGCATTGTATACTTCGAATGGATGGGTTTTCTGATACGGAAATTATCTCTCTAGGCATGCTGTCTTTGCCGAGTCCACATAACACTGCCCGCACCGAGTTTTGGATCAGCTGCTCTGAAACAGGCCGCGCAGGCGACAGTGGTGAACCCCAGAGAGAGCCACGCTGGGATCCCTCGTCGGAGTCTTAAGGTCTGTGGCTGTGGGCTCATTGCTCCTTTCTAGATCTGCGGATACTTAACCACGGAGGCCCTGGGAGGAAAAAAAGAAATGGGATCAGGTGTTCAAATCGTGCTGGGTGCTGCAGCAGCAAGAACCATCAGTCTGCGGGACTCCGCATGTGACCAATGAGACCACTGTCAAGGGAGCGTTGGAGACCACCCAGCGGGTCTGCCGGCTGGAGCCCGCAACGGCCCTAGTGCGCAGGCGCCTGTGTCTGCGGTTGCCTAGCAGCGCAGGGTAGCGTTGGGCAGCATGGCGGCCAGTGCCGGGAGTGAGAGCCAGAGCGGGAGCGGAAGCGCGCCCGGCACCGTGAGCGCGGTCGTGAGCGAGCACCTGCGGCGGCTGGGTCTGCGCGAGTTCCCGTGCGGCACAGGCAGCTGGGGGCGGGACCAGGAAACCAGGGCCAGTCCTGCGGGAGGGAAGCAGCGGGAGCCCGACGCCGGCTGGCCTAACTGGAGGCTCCTGCCTGGGCATTTCGGGCGCGGCCCGCTCGGTGGTGCTGGTGATGCTGGCGGGGACTGTGGGGACCGGGACGCTGCAGGGCGGCTGCCCTAAGCCTCCACAGAGCCTGAGGACACCGGGACCAAGTGCACCGCCCATGCAGATCCGGTCAGGGCTTCTTGCACAAGTTTGGGGACACACTGCCCCTGGGCTTCTGGGCGTCTTTGGGGTGAAGAGCTCTGGTCTGGGCAATTTCTCCAATGTACCGAGTCCAAGGGCTCATGAGGGCCGAGCCACTGAGGCCCAGGCCTCCCCTTCCGAGGGCTCAGTGGGTCAGCTCCTGCCACTTCTCCATCCCTGCCTAGCTCTGAGGCCCAGGCCTTCCTAACTTGTGTGAGGCTGTGTCCTGAGGGGGGCTGTGTCCTGAGGGCAGTGAGATGTGGCCCAGGAAGAGAGCTGGTCCGCAGCCCAAAAGCAGACAGGAAGTACAGCAGGGGGCGTAGTTGCCACAGCTCCAAGAAGGAAATTCTGGTTTTGCCGCCCAGGAAGGCCTATTCCCCACCCCTCAGCTCAGGGGACAGGGAAACCTGTGTCCATCCTTACAGGAGCACCAAGACACAGTGGGGACGCAGGTTTGGTCAGCAGGTGTTGGCGGAGCACTTACCTGTATCCCAGCACTGTGCCAGGCTTTATGCTTTCAGAGCTGGATCTTGGAAGCCAAGTGGGGCATGGTGGCGCACACCTGTAATCCCAGCACTTGGGAGGCTGAGGCAGGAGGATCTCTGTGAGTTCAAGACCAGCCTGGGCTACATAGTGAGTCCCAGCTCAGTCTCAACTACATAGTGAGATCCTGTCTCAAACAAACAAACAAAACAAACAGAGCTGGATCTTGGGCTGGGGTTGTATGTAGCTCAGTGGTGAGCACTTGCCTAGCAGGTGTGAGGCCTTGGGTTTCATCCTCTGCACTGAAGAAAAAACTCCAAACAAACCCCACAGAATCTGAAGAGCTGTTTCTCAGCCTCCTGGAGAAAGGGGCAAGAGTAAACTCTGGGAAGGAGCTCCCATCTTCCACTTCCTGTGTCTGAGGTGCTGAGTTCACCTTCCAGCTGGCCACCTTGTTTTCAGGGAAATTCCTTGGTAAACTGTATCTTCCCACTCGTCTTTGGAGCCTCCTGGCTAGTAGTCCATGAGTTGCGGTGAATTTCGTGTTTAATATGACTTTGACTTTGCATTTCCAAGGCCTCCAGCTCCACAGTAGAGCCCTGAAGGCAGGGATTGGCCACTGACCTACCCACTGGCTCCCTCCCTGGCCATAGCATGGCTGCCGTTCCCTTAGATTCATCAGTGGTGACTGCCAGTCCCCAAGAGGTGGGGTGAGACCCAGCTACTCTTCACCTCACCCTGCAGAACCGATCCCGCTTCCTTCCACCCACTCGGCGAGCCTGGAAGGAACTGGTGCCCGGAGAGGTGGCCATGGGTCCTGAGGAGGAGCCAGTGGAGGCCCTGCTGGGCCTGGTGCGCAGCCCTCAGTCGCCCTGGGCTCTGCCTGAGGACTCCAGTGCTGAGGACCAGTTCCTGCGAGAGCTGGCCATCCAGAGCCCGCTGATGATCAGAGATACCTTCTTCTACTCCTACTTCCGGTCCCTGCGGGTGGTGGACAAGCAGGTAGGGCAGCAGCGAGCGGAACTTGAGGAGTCCCCCCAGGGTACCCACCTGGGCCAGCCCTGCCACTGCCTATCCAAGCTCTCCAGCACATCCAGCAAGCCAGCAGTGCTCAGCTGCTCTCTGTCCATATCTCCCTGCTGCACCGGGGAAGCTGACGTGGTGCCACACACCTGCAATCTCAGCACTGTGGGAGGCTGAGGCAGAAGGATCTCAAGATCAATACAAGCCTGGGCAACTTACTGCCTTAGCAAGACCCTGTCTCAAAAGCTAAAAGTAGGCTGGGATACAGCTTAGTGTGAAGGCCCTAGTTTAATTGGCAATACTACAAAAGAAAAGAAAACTCTTGAAAGGCTGAGATTGGTTTTAACTTGATACAAACTGTGGAGACCTGAGGGGGAGGGGAATCACAATACTATTTATTTCTGTCCCTAAAAAGCCTTCATTGCCCGGAAGTCACATGGAAATTTGGTCTGTCTCCCAGAGCTTCTGTTTCCTTTACCTTGACCAGCGTGCCTGGGACTTTCCCAGCATACACTCCAAGAGGTTAGGGAGCCTGGAACAAACCAGCTGGTGCTGCAGAGGAGAGCCGGAAAGGCCCTGATGCCTTGTGGGCAGGAACCTGGGGATTCATGGGTTGCTGCAGGAGCTCCTACTCTGACCCTGCTCTGTGTAAACCAGAGTGATTCCTACAGACCTGAACTGAGCCACTCAGGAGGCTGAGGCAGGAGGATCACCACCAGTTTGGGGCCAGCCTGTGGTCTACATAGTGTTTGAGGGCAGTCTGAACTGTATAAGTGAGACCCTGTTTCATAAAAACAAAACCAAAGAAAAGACTTCAACTGGCTTCCGTGCCAGGCGTAGATAGCATGGAAGATGGGGTTCCCACCCTCCTGGAAATGCTGTGATCTCACGATGGACGCAGGCCACTGGGCAGGCCGTCACAGGACACCTAGTGTTGGGGGAGGGGCAGGGACGGCCCTGGGGGTGGGGCCACGGGACAATTCTCAGCCCAGACTTCCTCTGTCCCCTGCAGGTGAGCCAGGTGGACAGAGACCTCCTGAAGTTCCTGAAGTTGGAGGAGCTGGTGCTGAGCGCCAACCGGATCAAGGAAGTCGATGCCGCCAACCTGCCCCCCACACTCAAGGTACAGGAGTCCCGCTTCCATCTGGGTCTTGAGTCAGCACCCCCAGAGCCCCTGCCCCTGCCCCTAACCAGCCCCACATGGGTTTGACCAGGGTGGCCAGGTGCAGAGGCCCAACCCAGGGCATTAAAAATGCCACGGGCTGGGGATTTAGCTCAGTGGCATCACGCCTGCCTCACAAGCGCGAGGTCCTGGGGTCCATCCCTGGTACCAAAAAGAAAAAGAAAGAAATATATAGACCACATTCCTCAGAAGCCCACAGAATTCCCTTCCCAGTGTGCACCCTGAGGCGCGAAGCCAAGGACACAGACGGGTCCTTGTCTACCCGTGTTCACAGCGTCACTGTTCAGGTGAATTCAGATGAGGTGGATCCGGGCAGTGGAATACTACTCACCCATAAAGGAAGGGAACTCTGACAGTCGCTACAACATGGGTGGGCCTAGAAGACCTCGAAGGCAGTGACAGAAGCCAGGCGTAAAAGGACAAGTCTTGTGTGACTCCTCTTAGTGGAAGGAGCCAGGAAGGACCGTGGGAAGTTACTGCTTGGGCTCTCAGAGTTTCTCCCCGAGGCAGTGAGAGGTTTCTGAGGGTGGTGGCCAGGCGTGTCATGAATGCCACTGAGTTGTACACTGAACAGTGGCCTAAGTGACAAATTTGTCTTACGGGTGCTTTTCCACATACACAAAAGAGAAAAATCTAGGCCAGCCTTCCCATGAGCCTTCAGCCGAGGCACGGTGGCCCAACTGTGTGTCAACACAGAAAGCGGGTGACAGGCGGGGGTGGCTCTGGGCTCAGGAGGACGCAACAGGCGGCCTGGGACGGGTACACATGAGCGCAAGCCTGGGCAGCTCCAGAGGTCCTGTGTTCCATCCCTGGTACCGAAAATAAACCAAGTGAAAGGGCTAGGGATATAGCACAGTGTGAAGGCCCTGGGTTCATTCCTGAGTATCTCAGAGAGACAGACAGACAGACAGACACGCGCTGGGCACAGAAGAGCAGGACAGGGACAGTTCAGCCCCTCTCCAGAGCTGCCTGGGAGGGACGCAGGAGCTCAGGCCCAGGTGAGCTGCCCAGTGTAGCCACTGCTGTCGCCCAGGTGCTGGAGCTGTATGGCAACGAGCTGGGCAGCGCGGAGTGTCTGTGTGCGCACCCGCCACCTGGCCTGCAGCACCTGGGCTTGGGCCAGAACCAGCTGTGTGGCCCCTCGGAGTGCCTCTACGTCACTGCCAGCCACTGGTAACCGGGGCAGAGGCGGGTGGGGCATTTGGATCTTCCCATAGCATCTTGTCCGCTGCTAATGCCAGACTTCTGCTTTTGTCCGCTGACTCCATAGCAAACCCCACTGAGCCAGGCGGGGAGGTGCACACTTGTAATCCCAGCACTTGGGAGGCTGAGGCAGGATTGCTGTGAATTCGAGGCCAGCCTGAACTATATAGTGAGACCCTGTCTCCCCTAAATGTCTCCAGACAATACCCAAGAGACCATGTCACCCCAGAAGAGCCCTATCCTAGAGAATGCTGCTTCACTGTCCATTAGAGGCTGTGGAAAATAGAGTCCCCTGACTGTCGCTGTGTGACTTTGTCTCCTTGGTGGAAAACTCAGCACCCTGGGTCTGACGGGGCACCTGAGAGTACCCACAGTAGGCTGCTGCAGGGAGCTGGACTGCCCAGGAGGCCCTGGGTGTCCCCCGCCCGGCCCTGCAGGGCGAGCGCCCACTGATTGTGACTGCTTCTCAGCCCTGCTGAGACCTGGCTGTCCTGACTTGGGACTTCTTTCTTCCACTGCTGTGGCCATCAGAGGCTGCGGCCCAGGCAGGGACCCAGCACCTTCGACTTTCTGGCGCAGTCAGTTCAGCCTCCTGCTGTTGACAGAGGGCCAAGCATTCTGATTTGGGGCAGGGGCTGTTTTTGTTTTGGAGTTTTAAAAAATTTTGAGACAGGGTCTGGCTAGGTTGCAAGTTGCCCAAGATGGGCTTGTACATGAGTTCCTCCTGCCTCAGCCTCCCAGAGTGGTGGGATTACAGGCATGAGCCACCGTGCCTATGCTGTATTCTGGATTTTGATTTGCAAAACATACTTACCTGGTGCTTAATGCTGGTGCTTAATGTGGATTTCATGTGTATGTGAACCTCCGATTTTTGCTGTTCTGGAATTAAAAGAAGTCCATGTTTCTTGTGCATCGATTTTGCTGATGTTTCCCAGCCCATCCCCCTCACCCCCAGCACTGAGGATTCAACCCAAGGCCTTTGCACTGAGCTGCATCCCCACTCCTTTTAAAGTTTGGGATAAGGTCCCGCTGCGTTGCCCGGAGAAACTAGAACTTGCCATCCTCCTGCCTCAGCCTCCCAAGTGCGGGATCGTAGTGTGCGCTCCCGCGCCCAGCTCCCCAGTTCTCTGAAGCAGGCTGAGCCAGCGTCCCTGCTGTGCGCTCCCCATCCTGGGCAGGGGCAGGGGCGGGGCAGGCGGTGTCGGGCGCGGTGGGCAGCGTCTCCCCTCAAAAAAAAACTTGCAACTT